TACACGCACACACACACATTTATATATATACCTAAATATAATGTGTATATATATATATATATGTGTGTGTGTCCAAATTGTCCAAAATTCTCCAAAAATAGCTACATCCATCATTCCAAGTGTCTGGAACAACTCCAAAGCCTAAATTGCCCCAAAAAAAAGAGATCTTCTAATTTCATGATTTTCATCCAATTTCCTTCCATTTCCAAGCAGAATCGCATTCCAAGTGTCTGGAACGTCTCCTGAGTCCAACTCCTTCATGAAATCCTCGGCCACCGAATTCTCGTTGTCCATGACGCCCAGCCCCGGTCCGGCTGCGCCCTTCTTATCTGCGGCCTCGATGGCGTTGGCCGCGGCCGAGATCTCACAGATCTCGGCCGTGATGGCGGCCTGACGCTTCCTGGGCCCGGCTGAGGATTTGGAACCCGGAAAATGTTGGGGAAATGACTTATAGCTAGGTTTTGCACCGAAAAACATTGGATTTGGGAGTTCGCCAAGGAGTTTTGCAGGTATTTTCGAGAATGCAAGCAGTAAAAATTGGAAACCATGGAGCAACAATGTGGAAAACATGTGCTCAAAAATGAGGAAAGTTGTATACACTGAGATTTCACCAGAATTTCACCGGCGACTTCACCGAAAAACATTGGAACTATGTAAATTTCACCAGCAAATCATTCATAGTTGAGATTTCACCAGCAGAGATTTCAAACCTTTCAGTTGCTGGAAATCCAACCTAAGGACGATGGATAACCCATTGGAGATGATGTGTGAAGAAAAGCACATCTACGCTGTTTCTGGTGACCATGCAGTTGTACACAACAAATTGTTGACTCCTCCTTTGAAGGGACAAACAGTGGCCCATCAATATACCCCCAATGTTGGCATATATATATATACATATATATATATATATACATATATACATATATATATATACACATATATATATATACATATATATATATATATTACCATACATGGATCCTATGGGTGGATATGAGTCTGACTTGAAACTTGGGAGGGCAGCCTTTTCCCTGGTTCAAGGTGAGAGATCCCAAGACCAGTTTCGCGGCCTGGCTTCCTCGAAAAAAACGTCAAAGTTGCATGGGAAAAAAATGTGAAATCAACAAGCAATTGCGTTTAGCCATCTTTACCCTATCCCGTTTCATCATCTGCTTTGCCTATTAGCATTAATCTAGTATATTTTTTGTTGATCTCTCTCTCTCTCTCTGATTTTTTCATGGATGCATACCTTCATTAAGTGTTTGATGTCCTAGACTGGACGTTTACCTGGCTATGGGTCAAAAAGATCAACACACTAAAATGGATCACCCATTATACTCACTTTCGACAGGAAAAAACACATTTGCTACTATTGTCTGAAGAGGATTTATCTTTTCTTATTTACCTGGTTGCTATTTATGACAACTTTGCCGGGCCATGGATGCTGCTCCAATGGCTGGACCCATAGCTGTTCCCTTCACCATTATCTTGCACAGAAATATCGAATCCCCCAGGAAAATGATTTACATTCCAGTGACCACACACACACACATACACACACATACAAAATGTCATAATCATCAAGGATCTATCTATATATATTATATATATACTACTATACTGTATATAGTATAATTACACATATCTCTCTCCATACTCCAGTTGTCTTTGGTAATAATGTCATATATATCATTGATTTCCTTATACTCCTATTTTTTTTCACATTTGAAACCAACATAATCATCCGAAATTCACATTCAACATCATTCAGCACTAATCCAAGGTGCTTGTTGTACAACAGCAGCAGCTTCTTCTGCAGCTCCTTGGCGTTGTCCGTGGCCGCCTTCATCGCGGACATCCGCGAGGAGAGCTCAGAGGCCTGGGCGTCGAAGAGCAGCGACAGCAGCTGGGAGTTCAGGTACAACGGCAGCCTCGGTGAC